CGTTTGATAGGATTTGTTGGCGTTTAGTGTATAAAAATAGTTGATTACCGCCTTTTCCATGACATAAACCCATTCCCACTTTTTCTCCATTCTTTCGCCTCATTGTATCCAAACATCGATTTGTTTTTAAATTCTTTATTTCTCCAAAAGAATAGTAGTTTATAGGCATTTGACTTTCGGGATATATGTTCTCTAAATACCATTTAAAACCTTAAAACAAATTTACATTATTTAATAAAAATGCTAACACTCTCCTAAATAAATACTTTTGCACTTAAGATCGCGTCTCAATTGTTTCCGGGGTTCAGTGTCTCCCTTATCAACTGTTTTTGCCTCCGGATTCATAGTATGATAGAAATCTGTCCATTCGTCGAGCCATACGTCTGCGAGTCTCGCGTTGTTGTGGTTCACTATTCTACTCGTCCCGCCGGGAAAGGTATACGGCGTTGACTTCCGAAACACGTGTCCGACATGACTACACGTCACGATCTCAAGAGTCCCGCCGCACATCCAAATGCGGAAACTCATCTCCAGGTTCTCTCCGCCCCAGATCTCCATCCCTTCGTCGTATTTCCCCAATAACTCAAAGTATTGCCTATCGATTGAGAACAAACCCCCAGCCATTGTCGGTGACCTAAAATGACCACATTTAATATACAGTATGTTTGTTACTTAATCTCACAACACATGCCTAATGGGAACTGTCCGGTCGTTACCTCTTCTTTTCATTTCTCGATTAGGAATGCGAAACCTTTTAACATAAATCAAAATTTAAAAGAATATGTTTAATGCAAGTTTTTTGTTAAAACATTCAAAAATAATTGTATTCTAAATGTGTGAATACCATCGGAAGTTGAGTTTCCAATTAAATCCACCCCAAGTCATATCTGAAGCAGACGTGTATTCAAATGTATCATCACTTATCACATCAATTATAGGACATGCTATTCGTGTTCTGTATTTTGTAACAATAAATGTGATAAAAAATGCAATAAACTAAATATTTTTTAGAT